ACGACGCTCTTCCGATCTCCCCAAAACCCCAAAACCCCAGGATGATAAATAAAGCGATGAAATCAAATCTATAAATTTTAATTAATATGCCTAAAATATAAACCAAAAGCTAAATAGAATATCAACAGAAATTGCAAAATCAAATCATAAATGGATCTTATGTTTTTTTACTCTAATGGCATCTTCAAAGAAATCATGCTCCCTCAAATCCATATCTTCATCTACTACTTTGCAAAGGCATACCTATAATAGTAGTTAATAATGAACTTGATACCTGCTTTGGATACATGAAACATGATCCCTCAACAAACATTTAGTTCTCCTCTTCATCTTCAGATTCATCAGCTTATATCTCTACATGTATTTCCCTAATTTGAGTTTGCTCCTAAATTTTGTTTTTGTCAATCAGAGGATCAATAGATTCGATCTAAGCCCTAGGAAATATTTAAATTTGACCAGCATTGTTAGATTCTGATGTCTAGTCAACATTCTGATTTTAATCACTAAGATCCCAATCCTACCTATACTTTCTTTCATTTGTTTACTTCAAGAGTTCCATTTCTTTTAGGAACCTTTCATTCTCTTCTTTTGTTTTCATTGCCCATAACTTGGTTATTTCCTTTTAAGCAGCATCATGAGTCACATTCTGAACTTATATCATTTGGTTCTCATTAATTTTTGACAGGTCTTAGAATACCTATCTAGTCGATTCTTAGCTCTTTTCAATCAAGGATTTTGCTCTTTGAAATTAATTCTCATCTTGCTGAGTTTGATCATCTGAATAAATTTCTTGACATCTGATCATTTCTTAAATCTATTCAGAGAGTTTCTCAAGCTCTGCCAAAGTGTGCTTCCCTGCAAGGTAGAAACTCTTGCCTTTTACTTACCGCCCAAGCTCATTGTTTGTGAAAAATGTCCTGATGTCATAAATGTCTCCAATGTCATACTTCACAAATCTATCAATCATCAAATCAACTGTCTCAACTGCTCTACCAATGCCTTAATACTTTAGCCTTCTATAATACCTTAGCTCCTTGACCGATTTGAGGAGGTGTCTAAGGTTGGGATTCTTATCATAGGCAATTCTAATTGCAAGTTGTGGTTCATAGGGATTAGAGGTGATGTCCATAGTCTTCAGTTGTTCCGGCGAAAAGATTCCGTTAAAATAATTATAATAATAATTAAGATACAAATTAAGAGTAAAATTTATTTTGATCAATATTATTATTGCAGCTGTTGTTGCTGTAATTACAGTTATAGTAACTATGCTTGTTGTTGTAAAAGCAATTTCTGCTCGTCTTCAAAAACTTTAACCCCTATGTATTTAAGTTGGTCAAGGATAACTTGGCTAGGCTTATCATCATTCTTCTCCTTAGGTCTGAGATCCTCCTTTTTAGCTCTCTGAGTTTCTCTTCTTCCATGGAATATTTTGAGCTCTTCTTGTTTCTTGATCCTCGCCATATTTTTCTTCTGCCTCTCAAGTCGCAGTTCCTCCTCTACAATTTTCTTCTTTTAGATTCTTTCTTGCTTTCTATTGTTATGCAACTCAACTTCTTTCTTCTCAAGGTCTTTCTTTTTATTACCGATTGCAATGAAATCTCTTGCCTCTGTTAGATAGAGCAGCTTTTATTCTATTTTTCTAATCATTTCCAATTTATTTGATTGGTCTTCTTGTTTGATACCTACTTTTTCAAGTAGATTGCTTATTAAAGACGAAAGCTTGCCGAGTTAATCCTTTGAACAGCCTGTTAGCTGCTGAAGCATAGTGAAGGGATTTTATTTATCAGAGCTTAATTCCATTGATTGATTTGTATTTTGATTTGGATTTTAGAAGGCAGCCTTTTTATCTTTTTATGAAGCTCCCACCCAGTTGTTTACAGCTTTGCTCGATTCATGATTTGACAAGGATGACTTGACTTTCATATTCGATTCTAAAAATTGCAGTTTATTTCCTAAGTTATGGATTGATTGCTAGAGGATCTCAATATTCATCTAAACATCAGCTATTTCTTTTTCCTTAACTTTGACTTTTTAGTCTATGCCTTTTCGAAGTTTTTCCAGAGCTTATTCATCCTCCTATATCAAATGAATTTTAAAGAGATTATCCTCTTCCAAGTGAGCTAGATGATCCAATAGGGTGAATTTGTCAAAATATATTTCAAAGTCACCATCACCTTAATTTGATCCATTATCTTCCTTTTCTGAAAAAGAGTTTAGTTCCTTATCAAACTCATCTACTATTGGCAAAGACTCTATTCTCTTTTGAACAATATTGCCTCCATTTTGATTAATCTATGTTAAGAAAAACTGGCCCAATTCCTTTTTGGTGCTTTTGCCTCTTGGCATCAAGTTAATCTTTTGCTAGTCAGGGGAATTAGCAGCTGATATATCTTCAACTTATTGTTTAACTTTAGTTCTAGCTTATTTTCGGCCTGCAGAAACAGCCAATCCATCTAGAAATTTCTTATGCTACTTGTACAGATTCAATTTTTCTTCAATTTACTTAGTTTTACTTTTCTTCAATTGAATATTATTCATCAACTCAGATATTCTGTCCATTTTCTCATTCTTCTCTGAAATGAGTTTAGATACTTCAAAAGCAGTTTCCTCAGCTTTACGATTAAGATCATCCATATATTTTTGAAATTTGTCCTTGTCCTCGTCGAAAGTCTTCTTGGCTTCTTGGAGTTTTTCCTTTTCCATTATAATGTACTCTTTTAGTCTTTCGGTTTCTTCGCTTTTATCGTTAATTGAGATTTATGCTACAAGTATATTTCTGGCGTTCAACACAAAGTCTCTTGCAGTTTCCTTATTCTCTCTTCCTTTTGAAAGATAGTCAGTGACCTTTGGCCTAAAAGCTTGAATATCGTAGTGTGAGCTTGAGTAAGTCTAAGACATGCTTGCCTTAGAATGAAACGACTGATCATCTCGATTCTAATAGTTGTTGCTTTCATCAGCCATTCCAATCTTGATCATTTTTTCATATTTTTGTAGGCCATTGCTATTTTCATCAAATATATTGTACTTTTGTCTAATTTAGTCATCTGATGCATTGAGTAGAGCAAGCTAATTTTCGTTTTATTAATAATATTTTGAGCTTTTTGAAGGCTTTATACTATTGATCTCTCTAATGGCTCCAGCTCTATTTTATCTGGTTTAAATGCCTTTTTAGAATACCCTTAAACTCTCCTAATGGAGTTTGTTTGAATCTCTGAAATCTCTCTCCCTTTCTCGAGCTATTAGTAATTTTTCTGTTTCTCTTTGGACAGAGAAAGGATTGATAGAGTCATTCTTAATTTCTTGGTTCCTGTACCTGTTTAGTCCAAGAGTTGGCAATCCAGTCTCTGAAAATGGAACTGATTGAAACACTGATTTTCCTGCTGATTTCATAGGTCGACTTAATGACCTTGCTTATTTTCTAAAGCTCTAATTAAAAGCATCATTCATCTGAGGGTTGTTATAGCTCTCTCTTACTTATTTGCTAACTTAATTAATCGTATTTTAAGCTAGAACATCTGAGGTGATCAGTTTTCCAAACGGAGTGACACCTGGACCTAGAGATTCTCAGGATTTTCCTTTCTTTTCTGAAACTTGATAAAATGGTCTCAATTGCTAGAGGTTGGCTGATTGATTTAAAAAGAACTCGGGACTTTTTGGTGTCAGTTCTTGATTTTAATATGCTTACAAACTGTACTTCATTTTTATGTTAAAATTTCTTCGATAATTTTATTTTCTCAGCAGTTTAGTCTCGGGGTTTTGGGGTTTTGGGGTTTTGGGGTTTTGGGGTTTT